ATCCAAACAGAATGGATCATAATCCCACTATGGCAACGTGGATAATAAGCAGGTAGTGATCATCTAGAAAACCATCGGCATGAGCTATGGCAAGCGGGCTTCTGATATCTTCGAAAGACACTCTCTGGCTAAGCAGAGTAGTTACAATTAGTTCCCTCTATGAAATGAAGTGTGCTAGGTACAAGTAGTTGTTGGTATTGTCATTAACAGCAGATTGTAGATGATTACACGAACAACCACGAGTTATATCTGTTTTACAACATCTAGTAGAGGCGATTTCAAATATTAGACATATTAAACATAGCGTTTGGTCCCAGAGCCGTTGACTGTTCCATTTGCAAAATATTATCTCAAACTAAGACTTTCACTTATCGAAGAGGCTTTCTTGCTTGTACCATCGGAATGTTTGAGCCAAGCCAAACCAATTACTTAGCAAGTAGACTACTCAGCAAATCTCAAACCGAAACCAAAACCAAAGTAATTGTCTAATTACTGTCGACTCTCAATTGAAAACCGCGCAATAGCTTCATTGCATTATTAGAAATTTATACCAAATTAACAGGACCCTCATGTTAACCTGTCCGCTTTTTGGGTGTAAAACTTTCGAAGCATGCATGCTGTTACACAGACGTGTCGATTTAATGCAAGTCTGGTCTGTAGCACAACACTGATAATATTTCCAGGGTATTGCAATACTGCCTGCGTAAACGATCGTTCTCATCCTTTTCATCGTGATAATTTGGTTTGCAAATACAAACAAGAGAAAAGGAAATCACTTGTCATTGATCTTTTACCCGGTAAACATTTTGTGAAATTTTAATACCAGACTTCTCTAACGGACTTGAAATTTCAAAAGAGTTTTAGGAAGTTTCCACACATGAGAGCTAACAAGTGTTTTATCAGCAAGAATCAAAAAGTAAAAAAAGACCAAAACACCACAAGAAAAGGCTACAAATAACAATTACTTGCTATCCTGATCTGTATTTTAATCAGACGGAATACATCTGTAACGAACTACAATAACGTCCACACGGAAAGCTTGATACCAACATATACTTACTATCCTGGTCTGTTGTCACAACAATCACAGGATCACTGGCTGGTCCATCTCCTTTCACAGTAGATGCAAACACTGCGATATTGTAGTTGGCAAACTCCTTTAGACCGGTTAATTCCTTTTCACGATCATCACGACCAGCTGGAACATTCCCATTGTCATTTTCTGTTTGCGACTGGTAAGTAATGGTGTAACCCGTGATGATACCATTCTGTTGTTCAGCTGGAACTTTACCCCACATGACTAAGATGCTGGTTGAGCTGCTGTTCTGTCCTTGTACATTTTGTGGAGCAACATCAGGTTCTGTAGACAAGTCCGAAACAAGATTTTTGTAAGCCAATAATGCAAGCTAGCAAGAATTATGTTTTGTTTTAGTTATATATTATATTTTTTTCTATCATATATCATAACATTTTTGAGACAATTGCTTTGACGTAACTAAGACGCAATCTTGAAAAGAATGTGTTTAATGAGACTTCTTAAGGTGTCTATAGATACAGTTTTTTCTCCATACTAAGCATTTTCAATCGGTTTTTTTTCTCTTACCTTGATCGAATTAATGTCAAAATTACGCTAGTTATCGGAAATATATTGAAGTTTAATACTATAAATTAGAATAAATCTACAAGCGTTCTATCACGAATGCCGTTCTCCGATTAGCTACGCTACTCACTATCTATTCTGTGATAGATAGTGAGTAGCGTAGCGCGCAGTGTAGCCTTGTTAACAAAATGACGGCCGCTTATTGGCGTTTTCGAAGTGTCTGTGAGGAGGACGTGGATAAAGGTTTGAGCAACTAGTAGATTTATACTAAAACATTAGATTAGTCGCTCTCGATTTCTATGCGTGATAGTTGACGAGGGCGCAGCCCGAGTCAACTATTACGCGATAGAAATCGAGAGCGAATAATCTACTTGCTTAATATATTGTTTGAGATATTACACTCGCTGTAAAAATTGTTGGTTACAAAATAGCACTTGTGAAAAGTGAAATGTATTCCAAGCATTCTTCCCAAGGTAGCGCAATACTTGGAATAATAACACGACGAGTGAGTGAAAAATGATTTAGACAAAAAAAACAAAATAAACCTTGGAATAAAGCGAAATAATGACGTCACTCCCTCTTCGCGTCTTGACCTTTCGTATAAGACAAGAAATAGAAATGGCGGATGCTGGCGGTAAAAAAGGTAAAACGGGCAGAGAAAAGCAGTTGCCACCTGGGGAGGGCAGTCGATAAAATTCGCTGCTGGAAAACCGTTCGTCGATATCCGTTATCGGTTTCATCGATCGATCTATGGAAATCAATGGTTACAACTGATTTCGATCGAATTTAACGATACTTTTTAAGGGGTTCTCCATAGGCTCTGGCGATCGGTGAAAATTGCAATACATTCCGAGTAACTTATATTCTATTCGGAGTAAGGTCAATCAAACGCACGAGCGACGCCGTGAAAAATAATATTAAGACCCATTAGGGACGCTTGATGAACATTCTACTTACTATCCTGGTCTGTTCTAACGACAATAGGATCACTGGCTCGTCCATCTCCTTTCACAGTAGATGCAAACACTGTGATATTGTAGTTGACGTACTCCTTTATATTTGCCAATTCCGTCTGACGAACAGAGCCATTTACTTGAACATTTCCATTGTCATTTTCTGTTTCTGACTTGTAA